TTTCGTTTGCTTTTGTGTGTTTGGGGTTGTGAATGAGGTGTGAGGTGCTGGGTGACAGGAATCACCCAGGACGAGGGGAGACCTGCTGCAGGAGGGGGCCGGCCGGGTGGCCAGCACACCTGCTGATGGCTTTCATGGTGGGTCCCGGCCACCCGGGCTTTGCTTCTATGGTCAGGGTCTGCACAGGAAGCCCCGGCAGGGCGGGCCCGGCTCGGCCAGCCTGTCCCCCATGCCCCGGCCCTCTGGCCGCCTGTCACACACACCCACGTGCTGCCTTGGACGCCCTCACTGGCCTGTCCTGTCTCCTCAGCCCCATTTGGAAGCCGTGGGCCAGCCGCTGCCCGAGAAGCCGTGGAGGGCACCACGGGTGGCAGCTCTGCCCTGGCTCTGAAATCACCAGGGGATTGTGCTGACCACGGCACGGTCTCATGGAGCAACCCCTGCCCTCCCGTGTCTGAGCCACTTTGTCACCAAGGCTCAGCCTCCTTGGTCTCTCCTCGGCTGGACACACCAGAAATGCACCTGACACCCCAAAGTCTAAAAGGACGAGGGACAGTGGCTGGGCTAGACTGGAGGGGTGAGGGCTGAAGGAACTTCGCACACACCATGTGCTGAGCTGCAGAACTTTATTGGTCTCTGTGTGTCTAGCAAGGTTTGGGGACATGGAAGGGTGAGGCCCGAGGTCCACCTGGGGGTCGGGGGCCAGTTGGGGTTGGCAGAGGAGCAGGGGGCTGGGGCCCAGGCTCCAGAAGTGGCGCTCAGCATGGGGGCCCGGCAGGGTGGCCCCTCCTCAGTGCCAGGTCATCTGTGGGAAGGACACGTGGGCAGTGAGGCCCAGGCCAAGCGCTTGCTCTGCGCAGCCCAGTCCCCCGCAGCCCCCTGTCCCCAGCTGTCACCTTGGCCGGGCTGGGGTGGTATCTGGCTTTGTAGACCTCGTCGTTCAGCAGAGACCGCAGCAGGCACGAGCGGTGGTGAGAGAAGGTCTCGAAGCTCTCCCTGCCGTGGTAGGACCCCATGCCGCTGGCGCCTGCAGGAGGAGCTGGCTCAGCACCCAGG